GATTATAAATAACACTAGAGGAGGCACTGTAATCTTAGTTCAGTAAAAAAAAGGGAACGCGACTATTGGAAGGCAAATTCAAGTCCCAGATGTGTATTCGTGTTCCCATTGGTGACGAGTTTCAAATCAGCCAATGAGAGCACGGTTTTATATCCGGGACTTGAATTTGCCCCCATTAGCTGCGTTCCCAATTTTTAAACTCGATGCCTCCTCTAGTGTTATTTATAATGTCTATGGTCCATATATAATTCTCGTCGTCATAGTAATATGACGCAAACGTGTCCAATTTTTTTTTCATATTGACTCTTTGACGTCATTTTGCTAATATGAATGTGAAAAGTCCATATTTGGTTAGCCATTGAGTTGATATGACAATTTCACATTTGGCTGTTAACCAATCAGAAACCAGGAATTTTTTAAATAAATAATAAACTAAAATATTGGCGGACACACGTAGGCGGACACACGTAGACTTTTGTGCTCCGTATTTATGTTATACTTTCTCCCTCTTATGTTTTGTGTATACACCTCGGAGATTTTATATGATACTCCTTACATGGACGGAGTTCATAGTGGTTATAAGGGCTTATTTACGGCAAAGATTTATGGTAGAAAGTTCCTTCGACGACGAATAAGGTATTACTCGCACAGTTCTGCTTCGTTCAACCCATGTATATTGGTTCTTGAATTAAGTGGCGATATTCATCCACATCCAGGACCAGTATCCAATCCCAGACGTTCGGGTAAAGGTCGGCACACTTTATTGGTCTTAACAATCAATGCTCGAAGTCTAAACAACAAACTTCGCGACTTTCAGTCAATGGTGTACACGAGCGATTGTGATGTTGTTGTTGTGAGCGAGTCCTGGCTGACTCCCTCGGTGCTAAATAAAGAAATATTACCGAATGGCTATGATATATATCGCTGTGACAGACAAGATGGCAAAAGAGGCGGAGGGGTATTAATTGCAATAAAAAATGAGATTGAATCTAAACGACGCAAAGAGCTAGAATCGAATTGTGAAATTGTGGTGTGTGAAATACATATTTCCAAAGGTATGAAGCTAATTATATGCGGTTTCTATAGACCTCCCTCGAGCAAAAATGAATATTTAATGAATTTTGGTAATTCTCTCGAGAATATTGTGAGAGACGGTACTCCTGTTATATTATGTGGCGATTTTAATTTTCCTGAAATTGATTGGGAACTGCAAGTAGCACCTGGGTGTGACAACTTACCCAATATTTTCTGCGACATGATAAACGATGCTTTTTTGAGTCAGATGAATTATTCTCCGACAAGGGTTTCTGACTCAACAAGCAACATTTTGGATTTAGTTTTTACAAATCTGCCGGATCAGCTTTACGGTCTTTCAACATTCGATTGTCAACTGAATACCGATCATCTTGGAATTTCATTTTTCCTTAAGACAACTGTGAAGCGAACAAAATTTTCACGTTCTGTGTATAATTTTAAAAAGGCTGATTTCGATGGGTTAAGAGAAACTCTTGCGCGATCATCTTGGAATTTCATTTTTCCTTAAGACAACTGTGAAGCGAACAAAATTTTCACGTTCTGTGTATAATTTTAAAAAGGCTGATTTCGATGGGTTAAGAGAAACTCTTGCGCACGTACACACCATTTGAAATGCTACTCGACTGTGATGATATCGACCAATGTTGGGAAAAATGGAAAGATGTATTTCTTACTACCGCTGAAATGTTTATCCCAAAATGTAAGGTTAGAGATGCAAAGGCACCAAAATGGATAGATGGAGATGTTATCAATCTCTCTAAGTGTAAGAACAGAATGTGGAAAAAAGCTAAAAAATCTAACTTAACAAGTGATTGGGAAAATTACAGAACTATTCGTAAACAGCTAAAAACGTTGACTAAAAAGAAATATCGTGAACATCTCGCAACTATGCAGGATGAGTTAAAGGATAATCCTAGTAAGTTTTGGTCATTTTACAGAGCCACAACAAAAACAGCCAGGATACCAAAAATTGTTCATCTCAGTGGGGAGAAAGCCTCAACGCCTTCTGCTAAAGCGGACATGTTCAACAAATTTTTTGCGTCCGTTTTTCAAAAATCTGACCATGGAACAGAGATAAATCATGATGTGTTTCATCCTCGAGTTGACGAATTGCATAATTTACATGTTACTGTTGAAGATATCTTGTCTGTATTGAAGGCCATTAATCCTTCAAAAGCTAGTGGACCTGATCAAATTCCTGGACGGATTTTAAAAGAATGTGCAAATGAGATTGCCCCTTCACTTACACAAATAATAAATCTTTCCCTTCGAATAGGAATGTTACCAAAGGAATGGAAATGGGCAAATGTTGTGCCAGTTTTCAAAAAGGGTGATGTTGAAAACGTGACAAATTATAGACCTATCTCTTTGCTAAGTGTAGTGGAAAAAGTAGTGGAACGTTGTGTATTTGATAAGTTTTTCCCATTCATAGCCAGTCGTGTATACCATCTTCAACACGGATTTATGAAAGGCCGCTCTACGGTTACCCAACTACTTGAAATTGTTCACCTTTTAACAAAATCAATTGATGAAAAGGGACAAACGGATATTGCATTCCTTGATTTTTCAAAGGCTTTTGACTCTGTGTCTCATTTGTCAATGATGGATAAGCTATACGCGGCGGGCATCAGAGGCTCTTTGCTTAAATGGTTTGGAAGTTACCTACATGACAGGAAGCAGCGAGTAGTACTTGACGGCAAATGTTCCGAATGGCTTGATGTCACCAGTGGGGTTCCACAAGGCTCTATTTTGGGACCAGCTCTTTTTGTTCTGTTCATTAATGACATGCCTGATGTTATTTCAGAATCAGGAACGCTCGCATTGTTTGCTGATGATGCGAAGTGTCTACGTACAATCAATTCAGACGCCGATTGCGTGGCTTTACAAAGGGACTTAAATAATTTAACTACTTGGAGTGCAGAATGGAAATTACCATTTAACATTGACAAGTGTACCATCTCTACAGTAACAACGAAACGCAACCCTGTTTCTTTTATTTATGAAATAGCTAATTGCGTTATCAAGAGAGTAAACGAACAGAGAGATCTTGGAGTCCATATAACTAGTAATGCTACATTTAATGAACATATATATATTCAGATAAATAAAGCGAACAAGATGCTGGGCTTTATTAGACGTACAGTTTCGAGGGAAAAGTGCTTATTACCTACAATGAAATCACTGTACTGCGCACTGGTAAGGAGTAACTTAGAGTATGCTTCTGAGGTTTGGAGCCCAAAATCAATCACATTAATTAAGAAAATCGAAAGGGTTCAACGCCGAGCAACACGGATCTTGTTGCCTGAATTGGAATATGTGGAACGTCTCCAACAGTTTGATGTTCCTCCTCTTTTACACCGTCGAGAGTTGAAGGATTTAACCACCTTTTACAGGATGAAACAAGGTTTATATAACTGTAATGTTGACTCCTACGTTGAATTCTGCTCAGACACAAGATTACGATCAACTGCCCAGGGGAAATTGAAAACCCCTAAATGCAGAACAGAACATTTTAGGGCAACTTATTTTAATAGAATAACGTATTTATGGAATAATCTACCTGAACAAATTCGAACTTTCAATGGTAGTGTGGCCATATTTAAGCGTTCTTGTAGAGAGTATTACAAAACTATACCGTATGATCCTGACCGACCTCGCGTTACTTGGGATCCATGAACTATCACACATTTGTAACATTATAGGGGGGGGGGGTGTTTTGTACAGTTATTTACTTTTTTCGATCATTTTGATCGCTACTTTATTTTTGGTGGAATAGCTTAGCATGGTTCTATTGTTCCTTTCTATTTCTTCCTTCTGCATGTAGTTTATTCAGTTATTATTTTTGTATGCAGTAAAACTTGATTAAATTAAATTAAATTAAATTAACAGTCAAACTAATCTATTGTTTAATGAAAAGTTGCATAAAATATTGCACATGATGTGGACCTAGTGCTTCCTAGTCCTAGATCTGTCTACATCTGTGCTCTACATGTTCTTAATAATAATTTATGCTCTTATCCGTCAATCTTATCCTTTCTTATCACAACTTTAAAATTTGCCCCAAGCGATTCCCTGCAGGCACCAAATTTAACGCGTTGAAACATGTGTGGGGAAAATAGAAATAAGGCCCCGTTTACATGAGACCGGAACGAAGTCAAACCGGAATAAAAATTGAAATTGTCATCATGTTTACATGAGACCGGTACGAAAATTACAAAATTTTCAATTTGTTCCCCTTTCCAGGCAATTTTTTTTAGATGGCTTTTGTTAGCATGCGTTGTTCCAATGTCAAGACCGGTCTGAAATGTATTTGTGTTTACGTTCATCCCAGACAGCCAGACTGAATTTATGCCGGTCTCAAGTCAGTCGGGTCGGTCCAGCATGCTGAATGACTCGAGACAGGTCTGAATAATTTTCGTTCCGGACTCATGTAAACATCTATTCTAAATAATTCTATGACCGGAACGGAATTAGCCTCCTACGCAGGTCGGAAAAAGTTTGGTGAGATTTTTTTCCAGAACCCATTCGCAGACTAAAACCCATAGAGAGGCCTGCGGAGAAGGCCCGAACGGAATAGTCCCGGTTTGACTTTGTTTCGGTCTCATGTATAAACGGGTTAAAGATGGGCCTGGGCAATCTCAACTGGCCCTTGATCAATGAGGGTGGATAAGCTTGGAAGAAAGGCGTAAATATATTATGGCCCGGTTCATGTTTAAGGTTGTCAATAATTTGGCAACATTAATGTTTCAGAATTCTAACCATATCCATAGTTATAATTTACGAGGTTCAAATTTGTCTCTCTTTTTGCTACGACCAAATACCGAGTATGGCAGAAAATGTTTCCGATATAGTGGTGTTAAAATCTGGAATAGCATTCCTGAACAAGTAAGAAACAGCGAATCTTTAAATTCTTTCAATAGAAATATTTCCTCTGTTAGTCTGACGAATTAGCTATTTGAGTTTTGTATACCATTTGTTTTGTAATATGTATTTGTATAGATCGGAGTTCTTAATATTATTAGTGATTTTGTATTTTATATATTTTTGTAACATAAATTATCTACGTCCCATTTGGAAAGCAGCTTCGGCCGAAGTGGCCAGCGTAGTCAAATAGAGTTTTATCCTATCCTATCCTAAAAAGCTTTTTTCTATTACTCGTACACCAGAAAAATTAAAAAAAAAATCCTAAGGTCTAAGGTGGACCGCCCTGTTAAAGTTCATTGTAATTCTAGCACATCTGTTGTGAAGTTTTTGTAGTCGTTCAGACTGGCCTTTACTAATGGAAATCCAAACTTCACAACAATAGTCGAAATGGGGTTGGACAAGACCATAATAGACTGACCTCAAAGTATCAGAATCAGTGATATCCTTTATCTTTTTCATGGCACTTATTCCAGAAGATATTTTTTTCAAAATTTGGTCAATATGACTGTCCCAAGTTAAAAATTTATCAATTTTGACTCCAAGAGCTTTTGTAACCTGAACCCCTTTAATTGGTTCATCCCCAATAAAAACACGCGGTTGTTCTTCCAACGTGTTAAAATATTGTATCGTGATTCAATCAAAAGATATTCCGTTTCGACTAGGTTAAGAGAAAGCCTGTTTGACAAAGCCATTTCTGATATTATTGAGATCAGCGTTAACGGCCACCTCAGTTTCATGAATTGATTTACAGAGCAATAGTTGTGAATTAGTACATCTAATGCATGTTTTCATTAGTGGTGTGATAATTTATTAGGGCAAAATAAGAAATTTAGATCTTTATCTTGAAAATATCGATCGAATCATGATATTCGTGGATGCATGGGATCCACTTCGTTTATTTATTTCAAATTATTTCAACAATGCTGAGTTTGTTCCAGTCTTCTTTTTAGATCGAAAACGGGACACTTTGGGATTTTTTGAGAAAAAATCAACTCTACCTGAATGTTTGAACGTTTGAACATTGAATGTGTCATTGAACATTGAATGTGTCATTGAACATTCATTTGAATGTGTCATTGAATATTGAATATTTTATTGAACGTTGAATGGTTCATTGAATGTTTGAATATTGAATGTGTCATTGATGTCTGTGTCCGTATTTTAAGAACTGAATACAAAAAATACAGTTACTGAATATTGTTTAACAAATGGCTTGCCATAATCCATGGATACCGCCATAATGTTTTAAATTCAACAAATGCAGAGATTGGGCTGCTGTGTTGTGATATATGAATTCCAATTTTCTCTTCCAAAGGAAAGGCCACATGTGCGCAGTGCGTACCTATTTTTAAAAGTTATTAAGTTCTTGCTCAGATCGATTTGATATTTAGTACTCGAAGGTTCTAGATCTCTTTAATTCATTTCTTCTAGATTTAGGTAGTGCAAAGTCTTTCTTATTCCTCGTGTTGTAACCATGTCTCTTCCCATGTTTCGTCAGGTCTAAATTGATTCCGTCGATATCACAATGCATGCATATATTTATACATTATGATCGCCTTGTCTTCTTTGACTGGAGGTGTCCTTTGTCTTCTTTGACTGGAGACGCCCAACCCAGTTGGCCGAGGGCCCATCAGATGGTGTTTTGGAACTTGCTCCCAGAATAAGCCTCGCCGTCCTAATTGGCAGTTTCTTCAATTTTGTTGCTGACGAGGTGCTACTGCTGTTCCACACTACGCCACGATAATAAAAAACAGGGACTATGGTGGAATTATAAACAGGGACGTAACTTGGGTATCAGCATTTGGGGGGGTGTAAACAATATTTGCCCAATAAAATCAAGTTTTTCCCGACAAAAAGGGGCTTGGACAGTAGTTCTACACAAGTATTTGCTAGTGCATATTATGAATATGCTAGTGACGTCGTGAGCTGTGAGCAGATATTTAAAACATAACAACGCGTCACAAAAAGCGCTAAACCGTGAATAAACTCTCACATTTTCGTCTCGTTTGCATAACAATTACACATTTACACGTTTTCGATGTTGAGCCCGCGGTATCATCGTCAAGGTTTATATAGTACTTCATTTCTTGCTAATTTCAATCAATGATCCAAACACGCTAAGAACAATGCTAAAAACAAAACTCGGTCGTCGATCAATCTTCAAATTCTGCAATATATACGGTTTTTTCGTTGTTTACCTACAGTAAAGCAAGCCGGTAACCTTGCCCAACAAATAACACTTGCTTTGAACAAGTTGTCCGATAAAATTGCATTTGTAAACCTTGGGGGAGGGGGGTGTCACCCCCTCCCACACCCCCACACCCCACACCCCCAGGAGTTACACCCCTGATTATAAACAGGGGTAGCGAACGACTTCGAAAGGTATGGCATGATACGTTTAAATATTCCAATTCTAGAGGATGCCTTTTTGCATAACTTATTAATCTGTGGAGTTCAAGATAAATTACAGTCTACTATGACTCCAAGGTACTTATAGGTCTCAACCTGTTTAATATAGAAATGTTATCGAAGCGCAGATTAATCGGGTCACAAAAACGTAAAATTTGCGATGTACCTATATGATTATATGAATTATGTATTATTAACATTTAGAGCAAGGCCGTTAGTGGTGATCCATGCAATGAGAGATTTTTTCCATGTTAATGTTCAGTTTTTGTTCTATCTCTGTAGTATTCCTTCCGCCACGGTAGATTTCAGTATCATCTGCAAACATACTTATTGAACTTTGGGTTATGCAATAAGGAAAAGTAAAGATCCTAGGGGCAGGCCTTGGGAACTCCAGTGTTAACTAGTTGAATTGATGATAGGTCTCTGATAAAAAACCTCGTTGTTGGCATTTAAGTATGAGATGCATTGCATAATATATTTTAATTAAACACACTATTGTGACTCAAATGTGAATGTAATCAAAATATTTTGTTTCAACGCTAAGAAGAAAAAAGAAAGCAATCTTTATTTTGTGCTTTGTATTACATATTCAAGGAAATTACATTGCAATCCATTCCATGTTTTATTTTGTCTAATAACAAGAAATAAAAATACCACAAATCTCTTTCAAGATGGTTGGCATCTTTAAAGAAATATATAATATAGTAAATGGGGTATATATCGTAATAGGAGGAGAGATATAATGTTAAAATGCAACTGGCCGGATTTTCATTGATGTTGATTTCAGTGAATAGTAATGTCCTTTCCAATGGTACCAGTTGACACCATCAGCATACGACATGTCTTGTGTGCCCCATAAAGATACAGACCATTCAAATTGGAGTGATGACACTTGTTATACCAGTAGTAAAGCCCCCCACTTGGGCAACGGAAGTAATTAGTATGCAAAATCTCCGAAAGTAATTAGTATGCAAAATATGTGACGTAACGTTGCTGGCCCTAACCCTAACCCTTGGCCAGGTAGCGCGACCAATTAACGCGGACAGGCCTGGGCCAACTGTGCTTGGGCAACGGAAGTAATTAGTATGCAAAATCTCCGAAAGTAATTAGTATGCAAAATATGTGACGTAACGTTGCTGGCCCTAACCCTAACCCTTGGAACAGGTAGCGCGACCAATTAACGCGGACAGGCCTGGGCCAACTGTGACAGGTAGCGCGACCAATTAACGCGGGCAAGCCTGATCGATTAGCATTACAATGCAGTAACGAGACCAATTAGCGGCACAACACAGTAGCGCGACCAAACAAATTATCAGAGATTATAAATATCGTGTATCAAACAC